GTAGTTGTTTATACTGCTCCTCTGTGAAGAAGTTCCCTGTAGTTGCTATCCTTGAACTAGAACTTCCTTGGTCTGTTGATCCATTTGAATGATCAATTTGTGCATTGTGTGTTGCTGCCATGTTTCTTCCAAAAGCCTTTTCTTTGGCTTATAGTCAGGTGGATAACCTACCAACTTGTAACAAACATCTTTAGTGTGTCCTTTAAGTTTGCAATAATCACAAAATACCTGAGCTTTCTGCTTGTAGCCACCAGAAAAAACTTGTCCTGAGTTGTGTGCCATAGCTGCTGCTCCTATCTCCAAGTCACTAATATTCATTATCTTTGCTCGTTGACTCTCATCCCATATGCCTCATTGATAGTAAGTGTAGGAATCATAAGCATGATTTGGCCCTTTGCTTGGGCAAATGACTCGTTCAGTCCACTTAAAAATTGCACCAAACGTTGTTGTTGAATGTGCTCTAGAAACACCTTCGACTCTGGACATGGACATGATGGAGTGGGGGCCATAACATCATACTCATCCCACAGATCCTTGAGTTTAGAATAGTAGGTTGATACAGGTGATAATCCGTGCTTTAAAGCACCAATTTCCTGAAGTAAATTATAGATCCGCGATATGTTCCTCTTATCAAATCTCTCCTTCAAATCCTTCCACACATTATGTGCAGAGGATCCATAAACCACACTACTATATAACTCTTTTGTTACTGCATTCATAATCCATGATAAAACAAAAGCATTGCACCTTTCTCATTGATCATGAAGATTTGTCCCAAAATTTTCATTGCGACAAGTACCGTCAATAAACTCCGATTTTGTTCTTCGTAAAAAGTCCAATTCTCATGGATCGACACCACAAATTGTAATTTTCAGTGCCTAACAGTTTGAAATCAATCAGATGTTCACCTGACGAATCCGAAGGTTGCAAATACAGAGGATGATTGTGACTTAGCACTGCATCTTCATTCGTTGCTTCTTCAATTGCAATTATACTCTGAGTTGAGAAGAAAATAACAAACCCTAGCTCTGAAATTGAGTGTGTCGATGAATAAGAACACTGAATCGGAGATCAAAACCAGTCGCCGGAGCTCAATCGGAAAGCTCTGATACCATATTGAGCAGTTAACTAACAAGAGTAAGGATGCATGCAAGTAGCTGGATGGTTCTAGAAGAACAAATGAGGGAAAGAGAGATGAGCTCAAAGTGGAGCCATTTCAATATAACTGTGAAGAAGAAGGAACCGATCTATTCTAAAATGAAGAAGCTAACCTATATATACATTGATAACCGAATAATTGAGATTAAGTTACAAGTTTCTATTTTTACACTTTAACCCCTAAACTAATGTATTATTTATGTTGGTTCAATATATATTACACTAGTTGATCCAAGGGATAATTTTAGTTTTAGCGCTAACGCTCATTTATTAACATATTTGACTCGAATATAGTTTTTTTTTTGCAGATATTATCTCGATTCCTAATCCTTCTAAGAAAACCAGAAAAGGAAAAAGATAGATCTCAGGCTTTATACACTATGAATGTAATTTAATATGTTACAACTAGTTTTAGTATACGCGCTTTGCGCGTGTACTTGTATCAAAGGGTACACAATTTTAAAAAATCACATAATGTGTTTGAGTTATAAAATAAAATTTTAAAAAGAGTAAGTTTTTGAAATAATGAATGTTAATCTCATTTAGCTATTTCAATAAAAAAAAAAAAACTTGCTCCACAAAAATCCTTAGATGCCTTATTGTGATTTCAAAATTATTTTCTTTTACCTAATAATAATAAATAGGTCACAAAAATACTTTTCAAATAAAATATATTAAAAAGTTAAATCTTTTGGTATTCTAGAGATATGGAAATAAAGAGGTTGCCCTATAGCTAGTAGAAAAATTCAGTAGGTAATAATGCAAAGTCTAAAATAACTAATGTTGAGTTAATATTTTTACCAAAATTATTTAATATATAAGGAGCTATCATGTCCTGAAATAAATGTGACAAGTAACAAAAAAATTAATACCAATTGATTCATTTTAGAATACATTTTATCTACTACTGTTTTATCATTATTGATTTAAGTTCACATTTTTACCATTTTGACTCTTAATACTATAGAATGACTATTTTGCTTTATTTTTATATCAATTACCAATGCTCTTTTTATAAAAACAAATTGATGTAGCCTTTTTTCAACTTGAAAAATAATTTTTGCTTGTATAATTAATTTGGAAAGAAATTAAATTGGAACTTTTAATTGCTAATTAGTTAGTTAAGTTAGACATTAATTATTTGTTCTCAACCTTAAAGGGAATAATCTTTTTGTTTATTTAAATTTATATTAGCTCATCTAAGCTTTAAATATTTAAATATAACAATAGTTTTATCCAAACATTTATAACGTGAAAATTTCCTTTTACCCTTTGAGGTTTTAATTAATATTAGTTTATCTAAAGTTAAATTTAGTTAGATATTTTTTGTGATATATTTTAAGTACCTAAAATGTTTGAGTTCGTACATTATTCAAATAAGAAAAAATTTAATAGTTAATATTTGAGTTAATTTTTATAGTATTATAATAATAATTTGTCTAATGTAAATTTATCTTCAAAGCATAAAAACATTGTTCATTTTGGTAACGTCTTCATGCTTTTATAATAGTAAGTAGCCACTTTAGTATTAATACTAGATGAGGAAAGGCCCGTATACGGGCCCAACATTGTAGTCTTAAAATTGCACATCCAAATTGGTTTAGGAAGTATTTTAACAGTAGGAACAATCGGCTATTTGATGAATTTTAAAACGAACAACATCATTCTTTACAATACGATAAAAGATGAATAAAAACTTATGGTTTTACTTCATGTCATGCATACAACAAAATTAAGAGAAAGTTTTCGTACATTAAACAAAGAGAACTTCCAATGGGACTTGCATCCGTAAAGAGACAATTTACTATTTCAAACAAAGAGAACCAAAAGTACTAAACAAATATTAACATGATATAAATTGTAGTAATTCAATATAGTAGTTCAAATTATATTTTATTATAACTCGTTAAAATGATGTAAACTGGTGATAAAATAATCAACATTTGATAGAAGTCGATATAAATTATAGGGATTTTAATTTTTTTCTTAATTGAGGAGATAAGAGAAATGTTTTTATTTTTCTATAGATTTATCATATTTTAATTTTCATAATGAAACAATATAAAATTATAGTAGCAAATAATGTTTGAAGACAATTTATTGACAGTTGAAAACTTATCATGGAAGAATGGAGTTCAAACCATATGGATTAAATTTTCACATCAATTAAGCATATAAGAGATAGCCTATGGACAAATCTCATCACTTAAATTAACTTTTGAGGTTTAACAAACTATTGAATATGATTTTTTTTAGTTTAAAACCGCTTTCAACTAGTGTGGATAGATGAAAATCTTTTAATTTTAATTTTTAAATTGCTTTAAAATTGTATGGGTAAATATAAAAATCTTGTAAATATTTACCGATATTTCTTTTTGTTTCTCTATTATTTAAAATATAATTTTAGTTTCTCTGTGGAAACTTCCAGTTGACTAAACCAAAATTAATAATCTAACCAAATGAGAAAAGGAACGTTCCAAATGAGTATTTGCTTGCAATACTCTCGGCAAAAATAGTCTAATCAATAGTACATTTAAAGGAGTATTGTGTTTAGGGAAATGTGGGGTCCACGTATATTAATGATAGTTTGTATTTTAGAAATGCAAACAATGTAGGAACTTTTTTGAAATGACATATATACCCTTGGTTAACCATCTTTTCTTTTCTATATAATAGAAAAATATGTTACTATATTCAGTGGCAGACTTAAGTTTTGAGGTATGGCTTTGGCCAAATTATGATATGTATTCATAGATAATAGTTAAAAATTTAAATAATTGATTATGAACATCCACTATAATTATATATGATCACTGTAAATTTATACTAATATCAGTAAAACGCCCACGACAAATAAATCTTGGATCCGCCGCTAACTAAATTTCTAGGTCAATTTAACCAGTGCAAAAATTCTTCTTTATGGGTAATGAACATAACATAAACTCAAAAAAGACATCGCAAGTTGGCAGGACAATTGACAATATAAAAGTTTGTATGATGAAACATGTGGTATAAATTATGAATTATATTAAGTCATTGACTGTACATGCATGTCAATTCATTCGCAAGTGACCAAATTTATTTTATTTTATTTTGATATTACGTAAACTCCACTTGGTATTAATTGGTAAATATTTTTCAGCATTATTGTCAGAGCGTTTGTGTTTTCTTCTTTGTTTTAAGAAAGTAAGCCACTTAAAAGAAAGTATATGGACTTGAAATTACTCGTCTTGGAAGGCGTAAAAATGTTACAAGAAATCCCAACAAGTATTTCATTATCTTTTTGCAATCTTCTTTCTTTTTTATTATAATTGTTTTTTTCTCTCGAAAAAGAGAGACAAAAGCTACTCCCCATTGTAGACATATGATTTTTGACCCTCCCCAAGATTTTTCATATTTTAGAATGTAAATATTTAATTTAGGCCTAATATAACTAGTTCAACTCATTTTTACTCTTTTATCTTATTTTATCACAAGAAAATGAAACTTACGAAAAATATTTTAGTTTACGCACCTTTCATGAATTTAAATAAAAAATATACAAAAATAGTAGTTTATTTTTATTTTTATATATAATTTTAAAAATACAAAAATAGTTTCATTTTTAATATAGTTAGTTTAATTAATCAAAATTAGTTTTATATTTTTATATTATAATTGTGTATAATTTTAGAAGGAGGAATTAGTTTTGGGTTGGTTTATCCCGTCGTTATGAATCTTGTAGTCCATTTTTCAGTCTTTGGCCCAATTTCCTAGCCCATAACTCCTGGGCCCATACCCCTAATCTAACCCCTACTATTATATAATAGTACTAACACGTAAAAGGAGAGGGGGAGATCAGATCTACCAAAAAAGAAAAGGGGCAAAAAGCTGCGCATAGCAGGAGGATTAAGAACCAAAAAATATAGATCCATCCCCGATCGAGCTTCTTCTTCATCTAGCCTCCATAACGACTCCCCTGTATTTGATCTTCTTGAACAAAAGAACACTGATCTGTTGCACAAAACCAAACACCCCCCTGTCATTCATTTTGCTCGAGCAACCATGAACAAGGAGCTTAACAAAGAAGCTCTAAAAAACCAGCAGCCATAGCCATTTTTCTGATTTGAAAACATATCAAAGTCCTAAGTCTTCTTCTTCGTCGACTGAACTCCATCACCACCGAAAATGGTCGAAAACTGGCGACGGAAGTTTGTTTCGTCAATGGAGTTCGTTTAAAGCTCGTGGAGAGTTCGTTTGAGTTTGTCGACTGAGTTTCAAGTTTGTCGTTCCATTTAGTGTAACGTTTCTGTTGAGATCGAGTCCTGTTACAGCCCATTCGTAGGTCGTCGGCTCTGTTCGTCAAGTCTGTTTAGTTCCGTTCGAGATTCCGGCGAGGTTCCGGCGCTGCAACGTTTTCTGTTCGAGTTCATGTCTGATTGTCCGAGCTTCGAAACAGTATTGTAAAGCCGAGTTTCCAACGTTACGTTTGCTTTTCAGCCTCTGTTTTGGCGTTCAAGTTTCTTTGCATTCCAGGTATGAGTATCAGTCTAAAAAGGTGTTGTAATTTCCCCCTTATTGATGAATATATGGGCGTCTTATCTGATATTTGAGCTTTCCTCTTCTAGGTGTTGCATTGTTGTAATTGCTCCTTTTCATATCATTTTTGCAATTGCTCTCTCTCATGTTCCGACTGTTCTTTGGAGTATATTTAAGTTTGTTGTCACTTAATTGAAGCTCATGAATCAAAGTTTTGTTTTAAATTAACTTTAGGTGCTTACTATTTTGAACTCATCATTTGATATGTATTGAATTGAAGTGATAAGAAATTCATTTTCCTTGCTTTCATTTAGCTTAGTATTATATGACTTTTCTAATTACTTAGTCACTTAGTTCATTGAATGGGTCGTGTGTGTTTGTATAAACTTTGGTGTTGTTGGGTCAAGTTTTGCCAACGAAATGATGAAAGAAGTGAGTCTTTCTTTAATGGCTCAATAGGTTGGGAGCAGTACTCTTACATGAACATGAAAATCATGACTGCTTTTGTACTTATATATTCAATTTTGATAACCGTTCTGTTTCCAAGCTAAGCTTTGTCATACTGGATTACTTATTTTCAGTACTTAATGGGTTAGTTGTATTTTCTTGGTAGGTCACTGAAGTAAATTTTGTGTTCAAATGTATTCTTGTTCTTAATGTGAATAGGTTTGTTTGTATAAGTGTGACCAATTCTAGTTTAGATAGAGTGATCTTTTCTTATCATGTTTTGAAGTTTATGCTAGAAATTTGGTGTCATATTTATTCTTAAATGCTTGGTCAATTCCATATATTTAGAAATGAAAATTAGTATGATTTCACACAATAACTACCATAACCATGGCCTTCCCAATAATCTCAAAGATTAAGAAAATAATTCAAATATGCGTAGTTGCTTTAGGCGCGCTATTTAAATTAATTCCCTTCAATTCGGGTGTGCATTTATGTGACCCAAATCCAAATCTCAAACAACGTTAGATAAAATGTGTCGTGGACCGCGAGTGCATTTATGTGACCCAAATCCAAATCTCAAACAACGTTAGATAAAATGTGTCGTGGACCGCGAGTGCATTTATGTGACGTGGTTCAAGACATGTTTCAGATGACGTTGAATCTTTCTCTTAAAAATAGTTAAATAAAAGCGGTTATAAAATTTAAATTGTGCCATAGGTTAAAACATGTACTAAAATCAGATAATTGAGCCGATTATAACAGTTGAGCGACCGTGCTAGTGTAAGCACGTGATTTTTGCCCTATGAGAGAATTATTCCTAAAAAATTGNTTCTTCGTCGTCAACCACTCGCTTCCAAACACACCTTGCTTCTGCTGCGTTGTTGCTGCCACGACGAGCAGCTTATTTTGTTTCAGCTGTGCTGCTGCCACCATTTTGTTTATTCAAGTTTTGGTCGAGGTCGTCGGTCGTCATTTTGAGTTCGTCAAGGTTAAAAGGAAGGTGAGTTCGTTGTCGAATTCAAGATTCGTTAGGTCGTTGGCAGTCTTGGTGCAATAATCGTGTCCGGACAGATTTGTTTTCATTCAAGTTCATCGTCGCTTCGATCCGGTTAGTATGTTTGAGTTTCATGTTTTCCGTATTTTGTTTTGATATTCTCGAATCTAAAATCGATAAATGTTTGATTTTTGTTTTGTTCGTGTTCATTGTTTTGTTAATTTTTCAGTTTGTTCATGTGAAATTGTTAGTTTAATGTTGTTAGATTCAAATTGAAGTTTAATTAATTATTTCTCCAGTTTGTTTCATGTGTTGTTATGTATTTTTTCAGAAATTGTTAATGTTTGTGAGATTCAAGTTTAAATTCATAATTGTTTCTTCTTCGATTTTGTTTTGTTATTTGTCTAAAAGAATTTAGTTGTAATAGGAAAATATGTTGGTTTAATCATTTGAATCCGTCACGTTTTGTTGTTTAAAATAGATTTAATTCATGTTCATCTTTGTTTGAAGTTCATTTTTAATCCAGTGATTTAATGTGAGTTTATGTTTTGGTTTTTGATTTGTTGATTTAGTTTGAATCATGTATTGTGTTGTTAATATTGTTGTTTCCTTGCTCATCCATTTTTGGTCTAAGTTAACCAGGATTGGTTCCCAATATGGTTAATTTATTCACATTAATTTGATGTTGTTCATCTGTGTTCATATGATTTTGTTGTTGAACTTGTTGGGAAATTGGTCATATTGGCTATATTTTGGTTGAGATTGATTAGGTGAATTAGTTATAGCTGATGGGATGGTTTGGTAAATTGCAGTACATTCAGGGGTAAATTGGTAATTGCAATAAGGTCGGAGGGGTAGTTTGGGAATTGAACATTTTAAATAAATTTATGTTAAGCATGGGGGACAAAATGTAATGGGGTGTGAGTGATATAATTGTTTATGTTAGGCATGGGGGACAAGAGGTAATGAGTTGGGGTTTGATATATTTATTTAATGTAGTGGGGGACAAAACATTAGGTAATGAGATTAAAAGGGGGATGAGTGGGAAGATAATGGATTTGGTAGGAGAAAGTGGTTGTTTTATTAATGGTTTAAAGGGTTTGGGATGGATATAAATAAAAAAACTTGATCAGATTTTTAAGACAGATAGAGAGAATAAAAAGAGAGGAGAATACAGAGAATAAAAAGAGGACAGAATAAAAAAAGAGGAGAATACAGAAGAAAATTTTAAGAGAGGAAATTCCCAAAAATACTAAGACTTCAGAAAATAAAAAGAAAAACATTCTGGAAATTCAAAAGAAGAATAGTATACACCTGATATACAATCCAAATATTCTGATATATGGATTCAGAAATTAAGGGTTAAACACTAACTAGTCTTTCAAAATCTGAAAAGATTCCCTTTGCTTCTGTCCGTTGATTGTTGTTGGTGTTTCTGGATTTTTGTCTTGATTTTAAAATCTGTCACTAAGTTTCTCGTTGCTGGTTGTTACTGGTTGTTGGGTTGCTGTTGTTGTATGCTACTGAATTTCTGCTGATCTCACTTTTCTTTTGCTTCCAATATCAGGTACACAACTGACACGTTGATTATTGTAAACTAAAACATGTAGCATGAATACGAAAATGAAGAGTTGAAGTTCCAGATTTATTTTAATTATATTCTAAATTTTACTTGTATATATAAATTGTTTAGCTTACTCTAATCAGAATCATGTAGCTGTTTAATATATATAGTGAAACATCGGACGATAGCTTAACGGACGAACTATCTATATATTGCCTAAAAATAAATAAATGGTGTAGTAACTTCGTCTAGTTAATTCGCTATTGTTGGATGATTACCATGTCTCAAAAAGCACGTTAGTTCATCAAAATAGATCATTTTGGAACTTGGAGGAATGTTGTTTAGTTAAATATTATTGGTTAATTTCAGCATGTAAATAAATTAAGACATTTTTTTATTTTATTTTGTAGAGACAAATTTAATAGAGAATAATGTAGGCATTTTAGGATTGTCTTTTAAAAATAAATGAGACGAGCCTCACCGAATAAAAATACAAATTTGTGGGGCCCTCGATAAATGTTTAATTAAAATTAATTAGACTTCAGGATGAGCCGTTTAGCAAAATTCCACGATCTTACCCAGAAATAATAATACGCTAATTGCTTTAGGCGCGCATTTTAATAAGCTTACCTTCTTAAACTCGGGTGTGCATTTCATGCGACCCAAATCCAAATCCCAAAATATTGAATAAAAATGTGTTCCGGATTGCGGGTGCATTTCATGTGACGCAATCCAAAGACATGTTTTTAAGCGATGTTCACATTTTTTTTTAAAAAAATATAATAATAAAAGCGGTAAAGAGTTAAAACTTGCACACGAGCGCATAATTGTATAAAATCAGATAAACAAGCCGAATATAACAGTTGAGCGACCGTGCTAGAACCACGGAACTCGGGAATGCCTAACACCTTCTCCCGGGTTAACAGAATTCCTTATCCGGATTTTTGGTTCGCAGACTGTAATATAGAGTTATTCTTTTCCTCGATTCGGGATTAAAATTGGTGACTTGGGACACCCTAAATCTCCCAAGTGACGACTCTGAAATAAATAAATAAATCTCGTTTCGATTGTCCTTTAATTGGAAAAAACTCCTTGTACCCTCGCGGGGGCGGAAAAAGGAGGTGTGACAGCTAGAACCACGGAACTCGGGAATGCCTAACACCTTCTTCCGGGTTAACAAAATTCCGTACTCGGATTTCTGTATTCGCGGACTGTAATACAGAGTCAATCTTTTTCTCGATTCGGGATTTGAACCGGTGACTTGAAACACCATAAATTATCCCAAGTGGCGACTCTAAATTTTTAATAAAATAATCCCGTTTCGATTGTCACTTTAAGTTGAAAAAAACTTTTTGTACACCTTTTCGGAAATGTAGGAAAAAAGAAGGTGTGACACCCCTGGATAAGACATTAATTTCAACAGGTAAAGGAGTATTATTACCCGACCATTAAAGATTAAGGGGGGTTTAATGGGATTTACTCATAAATACTTGCACAACTACTTCTCAGCTAGATTTTTGCTAATTAAAAAGTAACATGAATCAGACTTTGATTTCAAGGTGAAAGCGACAAATCGTACTATAATGATTAAATTATAATGTGAAAAACACTTTTATTTTTCCTTATTAATCTGGTCACATACGAATTTTCCTTATTTTTTATTTGAGTATTATCACTTTTAGTCTGTGCCAAAAATTATTTATATTTAGTAACCGAAATAGTATATAAAATTTGTATAATTTTTATATATGACATACAAAATGCATATATGTACAAAAAATATACAAATTTTATATTTTTTCGGTTATCATTTTTACAGCAGTTATACCGTATTATTTTTCCTTTTTACTTTGGGTTGTTGTAAAGTTGTGTCGATTATAAGAATTGTCCTATTGCTAATAAGCTAGACTTTAAGACCCCTCTATGTTGACCATATACCATAGTATCCTACAGTGGCGGAGCCACATTGAACCAAGGGGTATCGAGCGATACCCGTTCGCTGAAAAATTACATTATATTGCTAGATAATTTTTTTATTTTATATATATTTATTATACGTTGACTCTTCTTGATTTTTCGATGTATCTAATTATATATATTTTGGCACTCGTCAATAAAAATCCTGATTTCGCCAATATATATTAGGCTGATTGAACATGCTAATTTGTTGCAAATCAAAGTATTTGGACTCAAACATATTGACTGGGGAAGCCGGTTTCCAGTATAACCCACCTAAAATGGTGATTGCAGGTAGTTGAGGATCCGTCCTAAACAACTACTTCAACTACTTTTTCTTGTTTTTCATTTTTCTCTTATATTTTTCCTCTAAAACAAGAGTAAATACAGCATGGCATTGTTTGAGTTTGTTGACACACAAGTAATGGTTAAATTATAATAAGAGGATTGTAATGCAAAAATTATATGGTAAATATTGTATTATAAAAATTATTTTTTGTTGAACGTTTTGATTCAATAACACATCACTAGAAAAAGGGATGAAAAGAAGAAAAAAATCATATCGATGTAGTTGAAGGATTAAAGTGATTATATTGTGCGACAAAAAGATATTATGAACCGATATATTCTTCCAAAAATGAAGTACTTTTATTACGTATATACTTTTATTACGTATATATCTGAAGGAGAGCTTGGAGCAATGGTAAAGTTATCTCTATGTGACTTATAGGTCATGAGTTTGAGCCGTATAATGAACTAATGATGTTTGCGCCAGGGTAGGCTGCCTACACTACATCCTTAGCCTTGGTATGAAGTAGAGCTTTGGAGCAATGATAAAGTTATCTCTGTGTGACCTGAAGGTTATGAGTTCGAGCCGTAGAATTAGCTAATGATGTTTGCGTCAGGGTAGGCTGCCTACATTATATTTTTGGGTGTGGTACGAAGGAGAGCCTTGGAGCAACAGTAAAGTTGTCTCCGTATGACCTATAGGTCATGAGTTCGAGCAGTAGAATCAACTATTGATGTTTGCCTCAAAATAGAATGCCTACAATACATCCTTGGGCGCAGCCTTTTTTCGAACCTTATATGAATACATAGTGCTTTGTGCATTGAACTATGTTTGTATAAGATATTGAGTTATACGCAATTTTTAGTTAGAGGGTTTCACGTTTACCACCACTCTATTCTTTGTACAATTTGCGAAGGTCAATGGTTTCAACGATCATTCTTTTGAGTTTTTGAGTTACTCCCTCCGGTCCACAATAAATGACCAATTTACTTTAGACATGCCCATTAAGAAAATACTAAAGGGGCATTTGCATTTATATCCATTTTTTGTGTCACGTTTTAACTTGTACCCGCTTTGCAAAAAAAATTGCAAGCGTACCCGCTTTTTCGCATAACTTCAGCATACAGGGCTGAAGTAGCAAAGGCAATCACGCAAAACTTCAGCATTCTAGTAGCCGGGCCTGAAGTTCAGCTCTAGAGATGAAGTTTTTGGTTTTGTAACTGGCGAATTTCAGCTCTAGAGCTGAAGTTTTTGGTTTGTAACTGGCGAACTTCAGCTCTAGAGCTGAAGTTTTTGGTTTGTAACTGGCGAACTTCAGCTCTAGAGCTGAAGTTTTTGTTTGTAACTTGCGAACTTCAGCTCTAGAGCTGAAGTTTTTGTTTTGTAACTGTCGAACTTCAGCTACAGAGCTGAAGTTTTTGTTTGTAACTGGCGACTTCAGCCTTCTTAGAGTTGAACTTCAGCTACTACATTGTGCCTAAACCATCTGATCACTTACCAGAAATGATCAAATTTTTTTGTCTTTTTCACTTCTAATCAACACTACAATAATACAGCTTTCTTTCAAATGCAATTTCCATTGGAATTCAATGGATGTCTAAAAAACAATCAAACAGGAGTAGATATTTCGTGCTAATATATTGGCAACGACAGAGAGCTGATAATTTTCCAACTCCAAATTATCGTGGGTGACACTCTTAATAGAAGGGTGGATTATATGATACTACCAAAAAGGCAAGAACAACCCAACTGGTCCTCCTACGAGGAACAAACTCTACACTTGGTAGTTAGTATATCCTTGTCCGCCTAATACATGTTTTGAATGATTAAATTCTCTAATCTGTTGTAACATATGAATTCATTAAGTCGTCAAGCCTCTGATGCAGTAGAGGACAAGAAAAAAGCTGAAAAGCTTTGAATTTCTTCTAATGGAACTATGGGATTGAGGGCAGATATAACTTTGAGGAAGAGAAGGAGGAGGAGAAAGGGAGCATTTGCATCTATACCCGCTTTTTGTGTCACATTTTAACTTGTGTCTACTTTGCAAAAAAAATTGCAAACGTATCCGCTTTTTCGCATAACTTCAGCACACGGGGCTGAAGTAGCAAAGGCAATCACGCAAAACTTCAGCATTCTAGTAGCCGGGCTTGAAGTTCAGCTCAAGAGCTAAAGTTTTTGTGTTGTAACTGGGAAACTTCAGCTCTAGAGTTGAAGTGTTTGTGTTGTAACTGTGAGTTTTTGTGTTGTAACTAGGAAACTTCAGCTCTAGAGCTGAAGTTTTTGTATTGTAACTGGGAAACTTCAGCTCTAGAGCTGAAGTTTTTGTCTTTATAACTGGGGAATCCCACTATCAAGATGTTCTAGTTTTTGATAACTCACCCAAATTTTATGTAATCGGATCCAATTCAGAGTGTTAAAAGGAAGGTGGTAATTGATGCTTTTCGATTGATCATTCCGCAAAACCATGATGCCAAGGTAGACAACGTCGAATCTGGGGCGTCTGAACAAGCCAGTAAAATTGTTTATTTTTTAAGTTTTTTGCAGAAGATATTATTTTTTTCTGAATATATGACATCCTAAAGAAAAGAGAAAAGAAAAAGAAGAACAAACTCCATGTGCATGGGAAAGAATGAATTTGAAACTTACTGTTAAAGGCTGGAGTAGAAACATTCACGTTATCAAGTAAATTTCCAGCAATGAATGACGGAGTTGTGTTTCTAGATAATGAGGAAACTGATTTTTAATTTTATAATAATCCAAAGAAGTCCTCAATATATTTGCTTTAGCTTCATTAATCAAAGAGAACAATGTTGAAGTCTGTAGAAGAAGAAAAAAGAAAATGAAGGAGGAGAAAGGGATCTAAAGTTGTTTAAAAGTAGGTACAAGTTAAATTTTTTTTAAAAAATGGGTATAGGTTAAATGAGGGCTACCAAATAGGGCGTCTCGTGCAATTTTTACGGAGAAAGGGGGCTGAAATTGTTTAAAAAGTGGGTACAAGTTAAAAGTTTTTAAAAAAATAGGTGTAGGTTAAATGAGAGCGACTAAATAGGGCGCCCGATGCAATTTTTATAATACTAAATTCTATACAAAAATACCTAGTATGACTAAATTACCCTTAATTAAATATTTAATGTAAGGAGTAAGAAAACTTTTTAGGAATATGACATAAAGGTAATTTTGTAAAAATAAATTGAATTTTTTCTTGATTATATAAATGGATACTTATTTTGAACCAAAATAAAAAAGTAAATTGGTCACTAATTGCGGACACGAGGGAGTAGACGATTTCACTTTTATCACAACCCTATTTTGACCATTTTTTAATGTAATCATTGGCTGATAGAACTTTTGCTAGATAAAAAGCAAAGGCTTGGAGTCAACTGATTGACCGGAGAAGCCGGTTTCCGGTATTATCCACCAAAAACGGTGATCGACAGTAGCTAGGCCTAGGACGTGGGGGTTGTTGGCAGCTGACATAACTGGCTGGCCTTAGCCAAATCCACGTATTTCCAACGTATCACACTTCTAATTCTAGACAACCTCTTCAAAATTTTTAATTAAATTAATTTATGTGGACGAAATTGCCCTTTTCAGTGTCCAATACATATATGCAACCACTTTTGAAAATGTTCAATTATTTATGTTAATTTAAGCAATTAAAAGTTAGACCAATAATAATAAATTCCGAGATATAGACACTTCGATATCCACCTTTTCAGGGTGGGAAGAGTTAGGTGAATCTAGAAAATTTGAATTTGCATTTCATATTGGTCAAATAATTAACTATAGAAGGGAAAAACGGAAGCTTGTAATCATCTTTTTTCTTCTGTCCTATTAGATTAGAATTTAGATTGACTATTCACTTTAGAAAAAGGAGCAAAAGGAGAAGAGCAAAACGAATCTGGACAGTATTCTGTGATTGTGCTTTTAATTGCTTTTTTTAAATATTGCCAAGTCAAATGTCAATGTCCGAATAGTATGTAGTAGGGAAGAAATTGTTAGAATTCAATGCCTACAACAACAACATACACCATAGGGTATATTTTCACAAATGGGCTATATAGAGGATAGTGTATAGACAGGCAGAACTAGGATTTAAACCTTATGGATTCAGGATTATAATTCTTTTAAGTTACTAATTTCTAAATTAATAATTCGTACATATTCATTGAATTTCTTAATACAAATACAAATACAACAACAACAACAACATCCCAGTATAATTCCACAAGTGAGGTCTGAGGAGGGTAGTATGTACGCAGACCTTACCCCTACCCCGAGGGGCAGAGAGACTGTTTCCAGGAGACCCTCAGCCCAAGAAAGCACCAAGTGACGATATATTAGTACTATTGATAGACTCATAATATAATAACATAAAATACATAACATACATAAAAGAAATTAAAATAGTAAAATAATAGCCATATAAGAGAATATAGAAAATACGAGAGAGATGGAAGGTAAACTAATATCCAGCGTATAAAGCCCTGCATCAGTAGCTAACCAGTAGCATCCTAAGTCTAACTCCTAACGGGCTAGTCTCACTCTAGTGCGCTGTATAGATATTCACAACTTCCCCCTAACCTTCAACCTTAATGTTCGACCTTCATAATTCCCTGTCTAGGGCCATGTCCTCAGTAATCCAAATACATAATTCAAATAAAAGCTACTGGATTAGACCGAACCAGCAACCAACACTATAGCTCCGCTCCTTAGTGTATAGGCAAATCTTACCCCTACCTTATACAGGTGGAGAAGCTACTTCCGATAAACTCTTTGCTCAAGTAAGCACATTATCTATAGTAAAGAAATGCAATATAAAAAATAAACAAGTCATAAAAAGGAATCATAAGCAATAGTGTGATATTAACAAACCGAAACAAAAACAATATCAAGTAATAAATGAATCCAAAGAATAAGCCACAACTACAATAATACTAAACTATTGGTATGTAAAGAGAATATGCTTTATTACCTACTAATTTTCTATCCTAAGTAAAATTTAATGCATATACCTAATTTATATATTAGTTTATTATGATCCAGTGATGAACTAAAATAAAACTGTATATTAACTATTACGTCAGACATTTTTATAACAACATCGTTATATAACAACACTTCTCTATAAAAGTAAAATTTTTTCGGAACTAAATCTCATGTTCTATTATAATATATATTTTCTATAACAACAATTCACTATAACATTAAAAAATATCCGAAACAAACAAGGCTTTTATAGAGAGATTTGATTGTATATACATTTTTGTGTGCGCGTGACTACGCGAGTGTGTGCACATTTATTTCTAAGATGTCAAAATTTAAACTATACCAAATTTGAATCACAATAATATACTCCCTCCGTTCCAGCTTATGTGTACATATTTTTTTTTAGTCTGTTCAAAAAATAGTGATCCATTTTAAATTTGGAAACAATTTAGCTTAAACTTTCAATTCTACCCTTAATAAGAAGCTTTTTTAACCACACAAATATTCTAGACCTCTTTCTGATTTGTTTAGGACCACAAATCTCAAAAATCTTTTATTTTTTCTTTAACTTCGTACCCAATCAAACAGGTTCACGGAGATCTCGTTTATTTCTCTCCTTGATCCTTTTTAGGTAATATTCTAATCTGCTTCCGCCTTCCGGTTCTTTTTACATTGTTTACGTGTATTGATATATCATTGAAAAAAAATTGTACACGTGACCAACATTTCTACGAAATTAATTATTTTAGGTAAATCTTTTAAATGGACAAAAATACCCAAGAGCGAGTCCTGCTCCTTAACGAGTCTAAGGACTCACCAACCTCAACACGCACTTCCCCTTCTTCCTCCTCCTCATTTCTCATCAATCTTCTATTTAAATTCATCCAATTTATCCTTTCCCAACAACCCCCATTTCATAGTTAATTAATATCATAATGTTTCATATAAAGAGGTTGTTCTAACATATATTACATGGTACTAACCACCATTCTTTTATCCCCTTCATTCAAGATTCTTCCCAATGGAAGCTGTCAAACTTGGAAATAAATTTCACCCACATTCCTCTTATACAAATTCTTCATCTTTTTCCAATACCCATTTTGGATTGATCAAATTTAGAAAGACCCATATAGGATTTGAGCCAAAAATCCAAAAGAAATGGACAAGTTTGTCTCTTTCTGGTGGAGAAAGATTGAAAGAGGAAATCTTTTTGGAGAAGAAACAGAGAGATTTTTCTGTAAAGTGTACAGCAGAGGGAATAGAGAGAGGATTGTTAGTAGGTGGAAGAAGTGATGAAGAAAGTGAATTTGTGGTGGCAGAGAGATTTAAAGTAGTGGCTTTAATGGCTTGTGTTATGTGTTTGTGTAATGCTGATAGAGTTGTTATGTCTGTTGCTATTGTTCCTTTAGCTGCTAAATATGGATGGAGCAGCTCTTTTTTGGGTATTGTTCAGGTATTTCTTTTGCTCATTTTTGATGCTTCTGTGATACCTAATACATTCAACTTTTTTTTTTTTTTTTTTTTTTTTTTGTTTTGTTTTGCTTTAGAATTGTTTCTTTGAATGTTAAGAATCTTTCAACTTTGGTTCTTTTCCAAATAGGTTATTTTTGGCTATAGAAATTCTCTATATATTTTGTTTTATTTGAGTTCACTTATAGTATATTCCAATATTAAGCTCAAGTCTTTCTAGACAAAAAAGATCATTTCTTCTCATGTGCTCAAGCTTTGATAGGTAGAGTTATCGATACCTAAGCTGGTCGAAGTTAACAGATATCCGATAGAATTAATCGAAATACGCGCAAGTTAGCCCGAATATCACCGACCTCATTAAAATATGAGGGGAAAAGAACCAATCTTTGTGCATTTGTGGTTGATCAGAATGGTAGCTGTTATATACCTGCCAAGTCTGCTAATAAAAGGAGTACCACTAAAAGAATGGAAATCAAGAAAAAGCCTAAAAATTAGCCAGAACGGGACCCACAAGTTGTGTTAGCTTTTACTGTAACATCTTTCAAGTGGAAGATGCGAATTTTGTTTTACCTTTTGATGATAAAGGTTGTGGTCTAAGGTCAATAAAGTTGGTGAAAGTTATGAGAAATCAAAATTCAAACTTTAGTGAAGACAAAATTATCAGTAGGTGATTCTTTTAATCTGTCTAAGTTTTAACTGACAGAGTTAGCGCTACTTGTTTTGATGGGAGATAACACGCATCACAAATGTAAATCTGAATCATCAGAAGCATTGGCTGTTAACATTCAGTCAGAGAGTGGGGATGGCTTGTGATATAGGGTGGGACCTTTAATTCTGGCCTTTGTGGATTACTTATTTTTGAGAGTTTATTTGCTATTTGGGTCCCTTCTACAAGTTGGCTTTATTAAAATCATTTTTACTTGGTTCCAACAGCGGAAGTCATTTTCCTGCTTCTTAGTTGGTTGGTAGGAGAAGAAGAAGAAGAGAAGAATGTTCTTCTTAGTTAAGTCTTTTGCACCTACCAGCTATTGAAAGTGAAAGGGCCACCTACTAGTCTTCTTCATTACCCTGCCCTTTTAGTGAGTATATTACTCTTTTAAGTTAAAAAGACAGCCCGGTACACTAAGCTCCTATTATGTGCGGAGTCTGAGGAGTGGCCGGATCATAAAGGTTTATTGTAAGCAGTCTTACGTGGATTTCTGCAAAAGTGACATTTATTACTTTCTTAAGTTATACTTATTAGAAAAACAATTTATTAATCATTTATTTGAGGAAGGCCGGCTACAAGGAAGGGGGGGGGGG